TATTTTTTTCTAAAACATCTAATCTACGGTACTTGCCTGATCACTATTGCTGTTAGGTTTTCAGAAAGCACTTTAATAACAGAGGTCTCCCAATTCAAGTAACAGGAAAAGATGCCGATTCTATTGGTTGCCATTTTATCTCTGCAACTCACACATATGAACAGTTATAAATATTAAGAGCAGGAAAGTCACACCAAGATGAGCTACACAACATTGCTTTTTTTGAAAGTAATCAGTATACTAAGAATTGTGACATTTTCTATCATAAACGCAGAGCCAGGATTACCAGTTTAACAGTCAGTTTACCAATTGAGCTGCATATTTGCTAAGAGCAGCAAGGAATTACATCTTTTTCTCTAACCAAATGATTTCACACATTATAAGTATGAAATTATACATGTTTTAAATGTGTATGTTGCATTTTTGCTGTTAACTTTATTTTATTGCATTAAATCTGTTTTCTTAAAATACTTGCTTTAAGCATAACTAAAAAAAATACCAAGAACTTCCTCTCCCCTTAAATCCCCCTGTCACAACTTAGAGATACTATGTTAAGAGACCACAAGAAGCCAGTAGGGCACTCCAATTTAAGAGTCTTCAGTTGTAGATAAACATCAGGCCAATCAAAACTAAGTTTTCTTAATTCACTGCATATGGATAATTTGAGGCTTCCAGTTTTTATAGCTACTTAGATGGTTGCCTTTCCCCATTCTGCACCAACTTTGTGCATGGAATTGTTCTTATTTTTTTAAAAAAAATAATTTTATTAAAAATTACAAGGATAAAAACTTATATTAACTAAAAACGAATGAAAACATAGAAGGTGCAGAAAAGAAAAAAGGAAAATAGAAAATAAAAAATAGTAAGGAAAAAAGAAAAAATATATACTATAAAGAAATGAATTGCCCTTACAGATATATGCATTTGTTCCTAAATGGTTTCACTTTTCCTCACTGATTTAATAATATTTCAATGATATAATTCAAATAATAAAGAAGATATCTTATGTTTTGTCATCACAAGCTAGGGGTTCCACTCCTGATACAGACAAATTAATAAAGCTGTATGTACTGAGATCCTGGATTCAGATGAAATAGTGATAGCTCCCTTATCAAATTCTGAAGGGTTAGAGATTGAACTACATTAACTTCTGATATCTCCCAGTAAGATCAGATAAAATTAATGGAGTTAATGATGACATTTCAAGCTATTTCTCAAACTAAGAGAACATATATACATTTGGAAACAGGCATATCAGAGATCTAAGGGGATATTAAAATCAAGAAAGCACATGCTCTCAAATTTGTTAAAGAGTTGGAAACTCTGAAGGTAATTGTTCTTTATTTCCCATGAAATCAGAATTAAAGCTGCAGTTTTAGGATAGGTTCATTACAAATTTACAATCTGAATCACCTAGATACAGAGCAACTCACCAGAAATAACTTTAAAATAATTAACCTAGCCCTGGATATTGAATAGAAGAAGTCCTTGTTAAATTACGTGGAAAAATGCCTTAAAGAAATCTCATTGCCAGCTGATTTTCAACTTGAGATCACAGGCATTTAAGAGTTAGAGGCAATCTAAGGGAAAATTTTTATAAAATGTTTTATAGATGGCATCTAGATCCCCAAAAATTGTCTTGCATGTATT